TCACTGTCTGGAAGCCACCATCCCCTGCCTGCTGTCACAACCCAATGTTTATTTTTAGTCATACATAGTTCTGGCACGTAAAGTTTCTGATTAGCGTATTTGATAGATAAATGGTAATTTTTTTCCTTAACCAAAAATTAAATTTTTGGAGAGTTTATGAAAAAACTGTATCAAAACCACATTTGAGTTAAACAGTTTGACAAATTAGAGGTAACTAGTTTGATTTAACATATAAATCCCTATGCTGGACACTTGAGGAAAGAATATGACTTTGAGTTATCCCAGCTTGAGTTAACCATGTTCCACTGTACTATTTAATAACTTAATGTAATAACTTAGTACAAGATAATACAAAATAAGATATACAATAATAATAATAATTTTTAAAGAACATGNTTATTTATGTTATTAAGTAAAAAATTGATGCCAGAGATATAGTGAAACATCTGTCGATTCTAAGAAATATATTTTATTTTGGTTATTATAAATAGATTCTTTATGATTCTTAAATACTTTTTAAAATATTAACATAATTTAATATATTTCAATTGTACTTTAAGATTATATTTCAAATATTTTTATAGTTGGAAAATATATTTGAAAATAACATAATTACTTTTATATATTCTGATAAAATAAAGTTATTATTTCAATAATAAATAAAATAGTAATGACTCAAATATACATTTAATAAACATGTAAATGACCCAAAAATAATATATATATAATAAATAGAAATTTTAAAATTATAAACTTCATATAAAAATAGTTTATCCCTTTATATACCTTCCTGATAGTAATAAAAATTCCTTTTTAAAACTTGACCGTAAACTTGTAACACCCATTGTATGACTGAAATAAAGAAAGAAAGATAATATAATCTATTTGGAAGTCTCTCAGTTAAGATTATGGTAAACTAGTATTACATTTAATGACAAAATAAAATAAAACCTATAAACTATGGAGTTCATTTAAAAATTAGAATAAATATTAAATTTTATCATTTAATTGTATCAAGTTATGATTATTCATCACAGAATGAAATTTGATATGGAAAATAAAATTTTATTTCTAATGAAATAGTTAATAATTTATTTTTATAAACAATTTAGTTATTCATTAATGAAATGATAGATAATTAATACAAGATTACTTGAGCTATCATATTTAACATCAATATTAGTTGGTTAATTTGATTTTCTTACAAATAATAACATTTCATATTACAGAACATTGTGTTTTAACAATTTCTTTATACAGATATAAACATCTACTGAAACCCAATGCTTAGCACCCACAATTACCGTAAATAATCTGGCTATAATTTTAAAATATTAATTATGAATTACAAATAAATTTGGCACTAGAGGGAGGCATTAGGCACTGTCTCGTATTAAATTTAATAATTATAATATTTAATTGATTAATTTAGAATAAACTGGAAGAAAAAAAAATCGGTCTGAAGTGGGACTCAATTAATTAAATATTATAATTATTAAATTTAATATGAGATGGTAACTAATGCCTCCCTCTAGTGCCAAATTTATTTGTAATTCATAATTAATATTTCATTTACGGACACCCACGATTATTTACGGCAATCATGGGTGTCTATTTAACAATTTCTTTATTTTCTTAAATTTATCTCTTATAAAATTCTATAATTTAGTGATACTAAGTGTAAAGTGTTAGTTTTGGTTTTGATGATGGAACATTTTGATTTTAATATTTATGTGAACCTGAGGGGAGGTCAGAGATCGCTCGTCTCTGTCACTAGTCAGGATGAAACGTCAGGCGAGTGAAGGGAGAGTTGCTTGGGGTTGACGATAAGGTGAAGGGCCTGATCGAGTAAAAGAGTCTACCAATTTTTATAACAAATAAAACAACAATTTATTATACTGAAACTAACAACCTACTACACACTATACAAAAACTAGTACTGGTAATTCTACAGATAAACACCGATGTCGGCCTCACGGGTGGACCGATCTATGATAGTATTCATTCGATAAACACGACACTCTGAAGGAGCAGGTTAACCAGGGCGGCAACTAGAAAGAAGAGACCGTGCAGTTTATCGACGTAGAAAAATCGAACCGAGCCGTTTTTAACAGAGCGAGAGAGAGTTCACCGAGTTTCCATACCTCTACAGAGAGAGTTCCCGACGACTATGGATAATCTGGAGGCACTACTATATGAGTTCCTGGAAACGGTGAATAATCCACTTTGGCACCAACATAAATACAGTCGCGACTTAAGCGCGGAAAGGAGATAGAACTTTGGAGATCGGAATTCAGCGGGTTCGGAAGATCGGAGCGATGTCGTCTATCCTCGGTTGTTTTGAGACTCCCCCGAGAGGGGGTAAGAATGGTCTTTTATCCATTTTAGTGGGGAATTTCCACCACGTGATCGGATGTTCATGAGTTACAGGTTATAGGTATTCCTGGGATCTACAACAAATGACGGCATTTAGATGCTAATTGTAAACCTTCTTGCAAGATGAGATGTAAGTTCTGCAAAGAACAACCAATGTTGCTAGTTAAGACCGGAAAGTTTACACAATCCCGGGCAAGATCGTTTTTTCTTCTAAAGCGTTACATAAACGAAAGTTTAATTAATTAACATTTTTGTTAATAAAAGATCGGAAATTTTGTCAATAAAATTCCGGATCTCACATTCATATATAGATAAAAATAACGGCCCTGGATTTCAATAACACTCTAAATTACATTTATTTAATAGCAAACAACAAAAGAAAATTTATAACATATTTTTGAAATTGAAGCAAATTTTTTATGTTAATTTCAAAAAATTAGATGATAAATGAGTTTAAACAAGTTTAATCAAAATTAGTTTCAACCAAAGTTATAAATTATTTCATTGTATTCTAAGCTTTTAATATTATAACTTATAAAACACAGCTCAGTCATAAATTAATAGTGCATCAAGCAATGAAATACTGTCTATAGCCAGGGTGGCCAAGCTCCTTGATAGTCTGAGCCATTTTTCAAAATTTGAAATTTTTCGCGAGCCGCAATTAAATACGTATTAAAAAGGTATGNAAGATTTAGTGAAATATAAAATTTTGTACTGAAATTTTATTTGATAAATTTAATAAATTTTATTTTAAAGAATTCATATGCTATATAACATTAATTTTCCAAAACAGCAAAAAATGTATGCTTTATGCTTTGTTAGAATCTTATAAACACTTAAAAAACTCAAATACATTTAAATCTTATTGGTTCATCATTACAGAGAAAATTCTCTCATATAAATATCATTAAAAGTTATGTATTTCAAAAATTTTCTAGAAAACTTAAAATGTCCTTTTCTACACTCTCCTATAAAACAATGCAAATACCTCTGAATAACCTAATGCAACTTCTATAAACAAATTATAACAAATTTAAAATTTAAACTTAAAATCATAAATATGATAAATAATAATACAGTAGAGCATTGATTATCCGAATGTTGATAAACTGAAACGTCAGTTAACCAAAAGCATTCCAGATGAACTATGTCCTGCTGAATCGAATGTTTTTGATACTAGATAAACTTTTAAAGTATAATTTTTTTTGTTTTTATATTTTTCAATATATTTATTTTGTTTGTACAAAATAAAAAATAATTTTTAAGGATACAATAGCTATGATTATTATTATAAAAATTTTCGTCAGGCTTAACATTGACAAAAATTCAACACAAAGCGACACACAAGAGAGAAAAATTTAAACATGAGATATATTAATATACTATTATTGAAATATACTAATATACTATATTAATAATGTATTTTTTTGTACATAATCGGTTATCTGAAAAATCGATTTTCCAAACAACCCCAGTCCCCAATTGATTTGGATAATTGACGCACTACTGTACATGTGAAAAGTATAAATATTTATGTTTTGATTTTAAGTCAGAATTTTAAATTTGTTCTAATTTATTTATATAAGTAATTATGTTATCAAGATGCATCTAAATAGATTATCTGGACATGTTTAGTTGACAGATGCATAAAAGAACATTTAAATTTTTGAAGTTTTCTGGAATGTTTTTGAAATGTTTAACATAATAGTCTATTTCTTCTCAGAAAAACTGGAGTGAGAAATAAACAGTCACAAACACAACCTTTTTAAACCTTTTTTAAGTTCAATTACTGGTTAAAAAAGGTTGTGTTTGTGACTGAAATGTTTAATTAACATTTAAAAAATTTGTATCTCTAGTGATGAGCCAGCAAGGCTCAAAGGCATTGGATTTTTTGTGTTTAGGAAATTTAAACCAAAAAGTTCAGTTTTCTTTAAGAAGTAGGCCTAGGTTATTTTGAGTTTAATTGGTGTTCAAATCTATCTTACTTTCTACAATACAAATCCAAAAAATAAATTATTAAATTACTTATAGTTTTTCTCTGTATTACNAATTTGTTACAACGTTGCACTTAGTCTTTCATATTTGTTGTTAGTAATTTAAAAGACATTTTGAAACACATACGGAACGATAATAATTTTTAAAAATATAATAACACAAAATGAAAAGGGAACTCGGGTACATTTATCGAGAGCCACAAATAATCCTTCAAAAAGCCGCATGTGGCTCGCGAGCCGCAGGTTGGCCACCCCTGGTCTATAGTAATATAAATCTTTCTGAAATCATTTTTAAAATATGAAAATATTTTAATCAATCCTTATATATACTAAAAGCAAAATGTTCTGTCCCTGCTAAAATCAAAACTAACACTTTACAAAGAAGCAGCGTGTAAGTAGGTCACACTGAGTCACTTGTAGGGGTCTACAATTCTTTCCTCAACAGGACCACCCATTAACTTTCTGTGTGGACTTGGCATGAATTCATGGAAAGGGTTAACAAAGGGAAAGGAAGGTCTTTGCATAGGGATAGAAAACACAAAANAGATGCATCTAAATAGATTATCTGGACATGTTTTAGTTGACAGATGCATAAAAGAACATTTAAATTTTTGAAGTTTTCTGGAATGTTTTTGAAATGTTTAACATAATAGTCTATTTCTTCTCAGAAAAACTGGAGTGAGAAATAAACAGTCACAAACACAACCTTTTTAAACCTTTTTTAAGTTCAATTACTGGTTAAAAAAGGTTGTGTTTGTGACTGAAATGTTTAATTAACATTTAAAAAATTTGTATCCCTAGTGATGAGCCAGCAAGGCTCAAAGGCATTGGATTTTTTGTGTTTAGGAAATTTAAACCAAAAAGTTCAGTTTTCTTTAAGAAGTAGGCCTAGGTTATTTTGAGTTTAATTGGTGTTCAAATCTATCTTACTTTCTACAATACAAATCCAAAAAATAAATTATTAAATTACTTATAGTTTTTCTCTGTATTACACTAAGGCCTTTATATTTGTAATACAATAAAATCTAGAATAATTATATAAAAACATATCAAAACTTACCGGAATAAATAATATTATTATTATGGTAATCAAAACAAACAATCCAAGTTTCATGCATATGGGCTTGACATTTTAATTTTACTTTCAACTCACTTTCAGTTAATTGTAATAAGTCAATATTTCCATTAGATTCACTGGATACCATACAATTTGAAGACAATCTAAAAAAAAAAAAAAAAATCAACCAAAGAAATAAAGAGAATTAAAAATTCATATCTTAACTGCTTTTGAGATTACATGGGGTGTAGCAGAAAACCCTGCCTATTTTCAAACATATATAACTAGGCTTAAGTGAAATTAAATGCTAAATATACAGTAATTTTTTGATACAGAACTGATCATCATTTCATATCATTTTACTATATGTAGAATACTGATTCTTTGTTTCTTAAAGTGTTCAGTTATTTACTATACATACTTTATGTTTACAACAGCACACAGTTTGTATAATGATTAGTTTTGAGTATGCAAGTTTTGAATAGCACTTTAACTAGGACATCACATGACTTTGTTGTATTGTGATAGAATTGAAATGGAGCCAGAAAGAAAGAAGCGATCCTTGCACATGTTAGGCATAGAAGAGGTGATCCTTGTACCTGCTGGCCATGGGAGAGAATTCTTGAATCACTGGCAAGGTACAGAGAGACAATGCTTGCATTTGCCGACTTGGAGAGGTGATTCAAGAACAAAGCAATCATCATTGATTCCTTTGTTCATTGAATCACCTCTCACCAAAAACACATATTTTCTGTTAGGTGCATGCAATGCTGTTTTTACTTTTGATCTTTAGACCTAAGTTAAATTCCGTTAGGCACCCTCAGTTGCAAAATGAGCACTGACACTTTAATACCTCTGTATATCAAAAACAAAGTCATGGACTCCTACTTTTTACATTTAAATAGACCCTCATTACATTTTTGGATTCCTCATCGCAATTAATGAAAAATGGCAAAGTTTTATCAATATCAGCTCATTAAATTTTGAAAACAAACTTGATTCTGTAGCAAAGCTCATAGAAAACATGCTAGTGACCATGAAAAATCACATGACAAAGCCACATGGCTCATGCAATAATGCGTTATCACATGCACTCATGCAACAACCTTATATCTCAAAAACAAAGTCATCGACCCCCATTTTTTATTACATTTTTGGATTCCTCATTGAAATTAGTGAAAAATGGCAAAGTTTAATCAAAATCAATCAAACAGCTTTTGAGAATGAACACAATTCTGTAAACCACATAGAAAAGGCTTAGCTAACATTTTGCCTCAATTAAATGACATCCATCATTTTGCAGTCTTCCAATCATTGTTGAAATTTTGACATTTCTGCTTAAGTCATGTGCTATTTAAAACCTAAGTATTTAAAACTTGATATAGTACAGATTGTATCCTATTGCAAGTAGAAATTCAGAAATTTTACAATTTTGAAATACAATTTTAAAAGTAAAAATGTAGTGTGAGGTCCAAACAAGTCCAAAACAGGACAGGTCAAACCCTCACTAAAATTTGCATTACAATACTTTTGAAAGAAAAAGAAAGAAGCTAGAAATAATTTTTTGTATGAAAAACACAATGCAAATGTATAAACAATAGAAGAATGTGTGACCCAAGATCAAGTATCTCTGGTTGGGATTGAATTAAATGTCGATTTTGATCTCTCTCATGATATAAGTTGAGATCTTGTTCCACTTAGCAACAAGAGACTAACCCTTTAGAAAGCAAGAATGAGTAAAAGCAACCAATCAAAATGGTAAGCAAGGACAGAAAATAATAAAAACCTGAATTTCAAGGATGCAAGAGCTTCTTCTATCAAAAATTCCAAGTGTCGGAACAATTGTTGTGTGTGTGTCTCGTGTCTATCTTCATCTCTGTCTCTCTTCCTTAGATCGGCTTTTTCCATCAACAGACATCAACCACACTGTTTCAGAACTTTAAAGATGTTAAAGAAACTCTCATTCATGAACCAGGAACATTTCTTCAACTGGGACTATCTTGGAAAAGAGAGGAATACCCAAAGACTGCCACTTGGAAGTTCAAACTTCCAAGATCACAGAAATCTTGTAAGCTTCTTTCAAATCAAATAAACAATTTTTTTGTAACTATAAAGTCTATCTCAGAGCTGACTGCACCCATATATGACCCTCTTAATTAACCCCTCGCCTGTCTTGACCATCACATTTCCTATTGACAACCTCATAGTATATAAAAAATACAAACCAACTGATGAAGGATATTGATTAACCCAAAACATACATATTGGTTTAACAAAGAAATCTCTTAGTCAACTTTCAAATTAGATAATTGTGGTTTGAAAAGTCCTTTGGAATACAGTAGACCCCCCTGTAACACTGTTGATAATTCCGTGTTATATGAATTCCATGTTGTACGAGTCACTTAGATTTTACAAATACGTGAGCCATTCACAGCCCGGCACACGTATTTGTAAAATCTAAGTGACTCGTACAACATGGAATTCATATAAAACGGAATTATCAACAGTGTTATAGG